ATAGCAGTAGATGAATTAGAAAGCCTTTTAGTTCAGTTAGAAATCAAAGACGAACAGCTCAAATCGATTGATACGAATAATAAATCGAATAAAATCGTAATAAAATCGAAGATCTTTTAGATGATGCAGAAATACAATCGAAAATAGTATTGATGTATAGCAAGTATTGATGAATGTAATGAAGTAATTATATTTAACTCGGTAAAACTAAAAAATAAAATAAAATCGTTGCAATCCTCATCGTACAAGAACCCGCATGTGTGGAACCCATAACAAACCAACGTAGACCAAATATAAACGCGAAGTTACCTAAACTGAAAGTTCATACGTATTACGAAGACCCATCTGAGTATTTAAATTTCTGGAATCAATTCGAAAATTCTATTGACAAAAATCCTTCCCTTTCAGATGTCGAAAAATTTTCTTATTTGTTTAGTTGCCTTGGTGGCGAAGCTCTTTCTTTTATTAAAGGTTTCACTATTACCTCAGACAACTATAAGTCAGCTCTTAAATTAATCCAAGATACCTTTGGCCAGAGAGATGTGTTAATCAATGCTCATATGTCTAAGCTGTTGAATATGACACCTTTATATATTAATGATATATAAAGAACATTTCTAATTTACAATATCTGAGAAACTTGTATTTTAAGTGCCAAACCCAAATTCGTTCTCTTGAGAGTTTAGATATAAAATCAGAAAATTATAGCGTAATGCTTTGCGCTGTATTTTGAAACTTTTTTCCAGCGACCTTGTTTTGGAATTCAGCAAGAATCAAATCTCGAGCACTAATCATAATTTGGAGGAGTTGATGGATTTTTTACATAGTTCCAGCACTGCAAGAGACAGAACATTTCATATACACTCTCCGTCTTTTCACGAAACACGTAGCCAGTATAAACAATCCAACCATAGAAATTTCGGAGCCCCCAAATCGCAATAAATTTCGTTACTCTGATAATGAATTGCTGAACAGTGCTAGTTCAGATACTTTTATATTTTGTAGTCAGCAGCACATGAGCCATTTGTGTGAAAATTTGAACTGTCAAAAAAAGAGAGAGAAGATTTTACGAGAAAAAAAAAAAGATTTTTATTGTGTTGTAATATCAATTGCTGTGTAAAGGCCTGAAAAAGGGCAAACTGCTCCTTTTACAATAAATAAACACGCCCGCGCAATATGCTTTGAATTAGAAAATTCTAAAAAAACAAAGGATTGAATATGGTTCGGAAATAAAATCTAATGAAACGGTTGCTACTTCGTCGAATTATATGCTGAATGACAGAAGAGGAATTTACTTGCAATGTGTAAAGGTAGAAATTGTTGGAAAAGAGTCGTCAGATTTTATTTTTTGTTTATTTGATAATGGATCTGAGCGCACATTTTTAAAGAAAGAAGTTTCCGAAAGATTGGGATTAAAGGTTGTTGGCTCAGAAAAATTGAATATTTATAGCTTTGGCGCAAAGACTCCGAAAGGGCAGATTTGTGGAAGCGTGGAATTGAAGTTGAAAAATATTTTGAATGGAAGTGAAGAGCTTATTGAAGCATTAGAAATTGATGAAATATCGAAAGCTGCAATAAATGTTCCAGGTCGAGGTACTTTGCAGAAATGAAGTCCAGATGATTCCCTTAACGTTTGATTTTAAAGATTTATCTAGCAAATTTCATTGTTGATAGGAGCATATTAGTATTACTGGAATTTGATAAAGAAATTTAAGCGATTGAGCAAGTCATTAGGAACTATAGAAACTGCCTTTGGATGGTCACTCCAAGGAAAATATGATGATTTAAGTAATTCCACATCGATTAATTTCGTTCTCAATGAAAGGTCTCCGCTAAGCTAAGGCGCTTTTGGTAATTGGAGAGTTGGGGCATTAGAAGTGACGAAACATGTATTTCGGGTGTCGAAGAAAGGGAAATTCTGAAGGAGTTTAACGAATCGATTCAGTTTATAAATGACAGGTACTGTGTGAAGTTTCCGTGGATAGCAGGTATGCGGGAGAAATTGGGAAATAATAGGGAAGTCGCATTGAAACGTTTTAATAGTTTAGTTCAGAGGTTCAAGAGAGATATGTCGTTGGATAAGCAATATCGAGAGGTTGATAGTTATCTTAAAGAAGGAATAGTTGAAATATCTTCTGATTTGTTATGAGATGAATTATCATTTTACTTAACCCACCACGCTGTTATTCGAGAAGACAAAGTCAGCAGCCGCTTGCGAATTGTATTTGATCGTGCAGCTCATGGAGAAAGAGAACTTTCACTAAATGACTGTCTCCACATTGGTGCGAACTTGCTATTAAAATTTAGACAAAATTCTATAGCTTATACATCTGACATACAGCAAGCCTTCCTGCAAATTCAAATCGACCCAGATGATCGTCGGTATACTAAATTTTTCTGGATTAATGATCTAAATTTAAGAGAATTTATTGTACTGAATTTTACTCGTGTTTTGCTTGGACTTACATCAAGTCCTTACCTACTGGCAGCTACATTGAAATTTCATTTTGAAATTTATCAAATTTGTATCCAGAAACCTGAATTGCTACTACATTTCTTCTGGGTTGACGATTTTGTTGCTGGAGCTGACGAAGTACAGATAGCTCTGAAAACCATTCTCTAATGCATTGAAATTCTGAAGAATGCTGGAATGGTGCTTAAGAAATGTCAGACTAATTCTGTCGAACTTCGCAATCTATGGAAGAGAGATGGTATAAAACTATTCATACCAAAAAAATCATCACTGGATATAGTACGCTGTTGAACGTTCTAGGAATGGACTGGAATACAGACAAGGACTTGATTTTTTTCGACATAAAAATTTTGATGAATATTATTTCCAACAGATCCAGTACAAAGCGCTTCGTCTTGCAAATATTGGGTCTTATCTTTGATCCAATTGGATTCATCGGACCTTTCATAGTTCGACTTAAGCTATTGCTTCAAGAGCTATGAACAGCTGGCGAGGACTAGGATGATGAACTCCCCTCTTTAGTGGACTACAAGTGGAAGTTGTGGTGCAGCGAAGTTGAACATTTGAATAACGTTCCTAGATATTATCTTTCTGAATTCAGTTTATGTGATTTTGTTTCATTTGATATTCATTCTTTTTCAGATGCATCTATGGTGGCATATGGGGCAGTGCTATATTTGAGAGCACTCACTCGAGACAATAGAGTTATTACTAGTTTTATATGTTCCAAGAATAGTGTCGTCTCTCTCAAATCTATCACACTCCCAGGTTTGGAACTGTTAGCATGTTTGTTATCTTCCAGGCTTGCTAAACAAGTAAGTAAATGTTTGAAATTTGATGTAAGTTGCTATTTCTGGACTGATTCGAAAATATGTCTGTTTTGGGTAAAGGGTAAGACCTGTAAATACAAACCCTTTGTGAAGAATAGATTAGAAGAAATTCAAAATTTGACAGATCCTAAGAAATGGTATCATTGCCTAGAAAGGAAAATCCCGCGGATATCCTTTCTATAGCATCTCCAGCCTCGACAAAGCATCTCCAGCTTCGAACTTAGCTGGAGATGCTTTGTCGTGGCATGGACCACTTTGGATGAGTCAAGCTTATGAGTTTTGGCCTGATAAGATTAAAATTGAGAATCTCACTGAGGATTTAGAATTGAGAAAGGAATTTTAAACTATAACACAAAATAAATGTGCAGTCGAGAATTCTCAATTTATTTTAGATTTGAATAACTATAGTAACCTAACTAAGGTACTGAAAATTACGGTATTAATTAAAAGTTCTTAGAACAGAACATGTAAAAATAGGACCGTACACTGCAGTTGAAATCTTGAAGGCAGAACAGGACTGGCTGAAGTATGGACAAGGACTCGTGTACTCTTCCTGAATTAGAATGCCTTAAATGTGGTACCCAAATTCCTAAGCAATCGTCTCTTTATAAGCTACCCGCATTTTTAGATGAAGACGATATTTTGCGCGTAAGAAGTAGGCTTGAGCAAAGCGATTTTGTCATTGATGAAATCCATCCAGTTATATTACCCGAACAGTCAAATTTCACTAAGTTCTTAATTAAATCTTAATCCTATATATTTTGTTGAAATTTTCGGCAGTCAACCTTCTGAAACTTTGATTCGTCGAAAATGATATCAGACTAAGCTTTTACGTCAACTATGGATGGAATGGAAAGATAATTATTTCATTCAATTGAATAATGCACGTAATTTTGTAAATCCATCACCAGGAAAGTTAAAAGAGGGGATGTAGATTTGCTTGAAGGGGCCGCTAAATCAAAATTTCTCTAGCCACTTGGTATTGTTCAACAGGTCTTTTGCTGGTCGTGATGAGCACGTACGTTCGTGTGTTATTCGAACTGACAAGGGACAATATAAAAGACAAATCCAGTTCATTTATCCACTTGAAATAACCTGACATTTCTCCTTTAGTATTGTCTTAATCATACTAAATGTACTTTGTATGTAAAAGTACTTTGTATGCTCATGTAGTACTATTTGTATTACGATAATTTTATTTGTGTTATATTTATTAATTTGTGTTGTATTTGATATCTTGTTAAAATTTAATGTACTCTGTGAAGAGTACAGGTGGGGTGTGTTTAAAATTTTTGTACTATTTGTTCTGCGACGCTAGCACATCGTCTGCGAGACTATCTGCGCAGTCGCAAGTGTTACGATGGTTACCAGTTATTTCTTTACATTTGTTATTATTAAAATAAATGAAAAATGGTTGTTCTAAAAGATTGAAGTTGTGTTTTAATTTGCTTATTTGTTTAATATTTTTTATATAACCTGATTTATTATGGTAACCTGATTTGTTCACCTTAGACCCTTAGAGAAAAAGGTTTTTCAGAAAATACGCTAAAGTCTGAAAGCACTTAAATTAGTTATTGGTAAGTTAGAAAATTACCACAGAAGTTAGGATTGTTGTAATTTTATTGCATATATTCAAAAGCAGCAAACGTTGCTGAATACTTCATATAACTCTAAGTATTTATCTTTACGAGACTTACCCCATCCTATAAGTGCAGACAAATAAACCAAATTTATGCCAGGAAGAAAGCTTCTGCACTCGATGAAGACCAAGATAACGACTGATAGTTGCAAAGCCATTGCGGGAAGAAAGAATAACTGCAACATCCAGGAAATAATAGCATGGTATTGCTAGAAAAAGTACATTCCAAATATTACTATTACATTGATGTAATTTTCCTTAATAAGCAGAAGTACTAACATTAGTAATCAACTAATTTAGGTCATAGAAAAGTATTGTAATACCCCGAATTGACGTAATAGAGCGCACTACCAAACAACGTGTAAGTCGGAGCCTAATTTTGCCGTTAGTCCTACAACACCAATGGTTGAAACTATTTTTTTAGAAGAAACGTTTGTAATAACGTAGGTTTTTTACTATGAATGCAAAACAATGTATAAAACTGAATTTATTTTTATGCGAGTAGCTTCATAAAATTTAATAAACATCTCTGATTAATTAAAAATTCTAAAGACCAATCTATACGAGGAGACAAAATTGCTCAAGGACACAATAAAGTCTTCTTCGCCGACATGCCGCCGACATTTCGTCTGCACAGAGCGGTTTTCTGTCTAAATTGCTCTGAGCTACTAATCTAGTCAGAGCAGTTAAAGTAAATGCTGTGATTAAATCCATCAGTCTCACAACTAGCATAATGATTTGCAAAGTTTCATTTCCTTTATTTTTCAGGACTTAATTTTAAAACCAAGCTGTAATTATATTAATAGCAATAATGGAAAGGAGCCTTAGTAGGATGCAGAAAGTAAGAGTGAATAAGAATGCCAATAAAAGTGCAAAATGAGAAAAATAAAAATTGTAAATTAAAAACAATCATAAAAATAAGCGGGAAAGGAAAGAAATTGCGAAATGTAATGCATCTTATATTACTATATATTTACATAAAAAAGAAACTAAATTGATTGCTGTACATATATTTATAGCATAAAATATGCATATATTGCCGATAATTACATTAGTAATAAAGTATCGTTAAAGTACACGAAAACGGAAAAATGAATTTTATCACTTTAAAAATAACGTAGAAATCCAATAAATATGTTTATATATAATTAAGATAAATTTACTATAACGTAAGTAATAACATTTCAGCCATAATAATAAAGCATTATAAAATCATTACAGAAGTACGCTACATTGTAAAAATTTCAATAGTTTTCATATTAACAGATTTCTGCGAATTACAGAAGTAGAGAAAAATAAAACATTTATTTTCAGCGGAAAACTCACAAAACAGCTGGATTCGAAACACAACTTGGTGGTTCACACGAAATTTAACACTTTAGTAAAATATGACGGGTGATCGAGCTAGCTAGACCGAATCTAGAAGTGTTAAAATCATTAACAGTAGAAAATGGGAACTATAATTCAATGCAAACGGGAGATAAATTCAGTTTCTCTTGTTTATCAGATTTCTCAGAACATAATATAGTAAACTCTTAAAGAAAAGATTCTAACAGGGTTAGTTAAGGCTAACACATGACTTAAATACTTACACCGCTCCGCAGCTTACAATAATAAATCAGTTGTATTAAGGTGAAAGAAACATAAGGCGAAAAAATATACTTATGAAAAATATCTTTCGGAAATTGTTAACCGAATATCCGTTACTGCTATACAGAAGCATGATTTCCATATATAATTTGATATGATGCTGCCAAATACGTTTCCCGCAACACTGTATCCGTTCATACTCAATGACCGAGATTATTGGTGCAAGCACCGCAGACATGCATGCGATGCATCAAAGATATGTTTCCCGTTTAGCCGCCGCTGACATCGAGATATATTTGTTTAGAGATATGTCTTATCGTGTAGACGGACCTTAAGGCACGAAAGAAAAAGAAATAAAGAATATATAACTTCCTTCTACACATTTTCTCGATCAAAGCATAGACAATGACTGCAGTGCGTTTATAAATGTAAAGTAACTACATTCTGCGCGAGCATAATTCTAACTTCTGTTTTCAAAGAGGATTTTGAATTTTAGAGCATTTAGTATATTATTCTTTAACGCATGTTATTTTATTAAAGCTTCTTGTACTACAAAGGAAGAGTAATGCTTTGCTCGTCAGCATTTTCTGAATTACTGACAATTTCAAATGTAAATTAATTAAAGGCAAAAGTTCGCAAAATAAAATAAGGAACGGACTAACTTTGAGTTTGCGTTCGCAATATACAGTACTGGGGAGAAAACTGTAATATGTTTTGTTCATATACGTAACTTTAGTTATTTGTTTGTTTTACTTATTATATTGTATTAATAAAGTTAATATTTAAAATTAGTCATTTACTTGGTCACTATTCCTGATTTATTTCTTACGCGAGTGATGATACGGCATTATATCCTGTGAGTGTTATGAATATCAAAATATGGATATCAGCTCTCAGAACTGACAACGTATTTGCAGAAGCTGTTTTTCAGCGGATGTAAATTTGAAAAAAAAAAAAAAAAAAAAAAAATTTTAATCAACACTTCTTACAAATATCCGCCAAAACCATTGCCAGCTTGGCGATATCTCGCCAAATTCGTGGAATAGCCGTTTACTCTGTTAAATAGATTTGCACCTGTATTCTTATTTTTCCGGCAGAGCATCGTATTCTAGATTTTCATGTTACATTATACAGTAATTTTACGTATAATTGCATTAAAATAATTTATCTATGTAAAACATTCGTAGCAATTTAAAGATTATTTTCTGCTAATTAACATCTAATTCGCATTATACTTTTACATTTTACAGAAATCAACATCCTATCTACATTTTACAGAAAATTAACAACTTAGTTTTCTGCACATTTAGTCTAGAAAACTGAAATATATGAAGACGCGTGGTACAAGGATCATGTGAATTAATTATCATGTAATTTAAACTATCTATGTTATTATTATATATAGTTGAATTTTACATTGTGCTAATTTGTTACCTAAAAGGTTTTCGGTTAGACTATCCTATGTAAATCAAGTTCGATAATTTTTAAATCTGATATAGGTTTATTCATTTTACACTTTTGGAAAACAAGACAATTTTTGCTCCAAATAAAGTTAATAAGTTAAAATGATATACCATAAGTTTAAAATGTAGGTGGAGAAATTAATTATTGTACAGATCTAGATTAAACAACCGAAAGCAATAAACATTTTTTCTATTACATTATTCTATAGGTGTTAAAATATTTTAAAACTGCTAGTATGGTATATTGATTTCATATGAATAAGAACAAAGTTTAAATGTCCTTAAAAATTCACTTTGTGATCAAATCACAAAGTGAAATTTCAAATTTATATTTCGTGATTTCCGAGCTAATCTTAAATTTGACATTACAATTAACGCAAAATGTAACTTACTTGATATGCAGAAAGCTGTATACCAAGCATAAAAAGAATATTGAGAACTACAATACAAGCAGATGTCTGTAATTTGATTGCTGCAAATCTATTACTTGCGTCTCTAAAAATATATGAATTAATGAATTGTTACATATATCATTCAGCATGGTCAATAACAATAACTAACATGTAAGCAGTGAATAGCAAAAAAATCTGCATTTATAAAGAAAAAGATTTAAGCAATTGTTTCCTATCATATTTTACAATATCAGTGTGCAACAAAGTCCTGATATGTAAAATATAAACCAGCTAAACTCTTGCGTTATAAAATGTAAAAGAATATTAAAAACATATGAAAGTTCAGTTCCTCTTCTAAACTAAGTATTATTAGCATGGTTAGTGACATAATCTTCTTCTGTGCAAACTTCCATTCAAGACGTCACAGACTTGCTTTATATTTTTAAAAGATTGTCAGGTTTCATTTATTCAAAATAACTCAAATTTCAGGTAGCCATTAAAAGCTACTCGGCAAATCCGGTTTTCATAAGGTATTTCTCCCGCCTTCTTAGCATGTCTTCATTGTGTAATGGTTATCACGCTCGGCGTGTATTCGAGAGATCCGTGGTTCGAGTGCCGGAGAAGGCATTACTGAATTTTCTTCTCTCCTGCTTCGAAAGTATGAAGAAAGTCTGCTTCGAAAGTCTGAAGTCTTTACAATGTCCTGCTTCGAAAGTCTGAAGTCTTTACAATGTAATGGTCGATAGTCTTGATCCTAGAACCAGAACTAGAGGAGGTGGGGGAAATATAAGTAGCTGTTTCAAATATAAGTAGCTGTTTTGTTGAAATTTCTTTACCGTTGATCTCATGAATGTGGAACAGCTTTTTGAGCATGATAATAGTTAACCTAATTCACGATCCAGTTTTGTTTGAGGGTAATTGACATATTTGAAGACTGTTACTGAAATGCAACCTCCAAACCGTTGGCTTAGATTTCTCAACAACCCCATTACACAAATAACTTTTAAGCAACATTTCTCAAGTACTTTTAACTGATTACAAAATCTCTTTCACAGAAATAAAAATCTGTAAGTCTGTTTCTCTTGTAATTTTTTCCTAAATAAATAAACCACCATGATCTATTTCTTTTTAAATGCTCGTTGAAACTAAATATTGCTATAGCGATTTTTCTATCATCAAGTCTGTTAGAAAATGAGTTTTCTGTCAACTATACATGGCATTCATTCAGTGATCCTTCAGATACCTGGCAGCGTTTGAAGCGTATAAATGAAAGGCCTCATTTTGGAACACATAATAAATAAGATTACAGGATCTGCTCTTCTTAGAGAACATACAATTAGACTAGACCTCTAAAGGACAGCTAGTGACTTTTCACTGATACTTATAAATACCACAGAGACAGGAAAAGGGTGTAATGGACATTTTTGTTAATACAAAGAAATTTTAACAGGCGGCACCAACGGGTGCTTACAAAACCAACACTTTTGGCTTAAATCAAAGATAATGAGTGAGCTTAAAATTAATGAAGTTTAACTATAGCCTAATGGCTTCACAGTTTAACTAACGCGCAAGTTGGCTGTAATTGAAGCCTAATGGGGATAATAACTTAGCGCCGCAGAATTCTAATCGATAGAGAATCAAAGTTAGCAACGTGACCATCAAGCAAGCAGAATACGATCTGATTTCATCCTCCAAAAACTTCCTTTATTCTACCTAATTTGAATATCGCGCGAGCTGGAAATTTACATTCTGTCAGGGTAGAAAAGTAATTTAAATAACAGGATAGAATATTAAAATGAACTTTACAAGATAATTGTTAGTTTATACGACTGAAACACGAAATCAGTGATGACCTTTACTGAGATTCAGCATGAGAAATATCAACTTACGCCCATTATCATATTTAAATGCAGTTGTAAGTGTAAGAATAATTCATGAGCCTATTGTGAAAATGATATACCTAACAGTTTGTAATAATTTACTTGTGAATCTGAAGTTTTAAAAAGACTTTTAAAATCCAAAATTGTAGTAAACCCTTTGGATAATTCAATGTTACTACGGCAATATGGATCTCGTAATCTAATGGTGATTTAAAGGATTTAACCTCTGCTCAAATTAATAATCTGAAAAAAAAATGGACATCTTTATTTACTTTTAGAAGAAATAGTAAAGCCTGATATTACCTGAGGTTATAAATGAGTCTGAATATTGTGCATAAAACGATAGCTCCAGATACCGCACATGAGACTAATAGAAAATTTTCAGTTTCTGTATACCCAGACGGTATTCCATCCTAAAAATAAATTAATCGATATTTCAATATGCTTCGGCTATATTTTAATAATCGCTATGCTTTTGCCATACATAGATATATTTAAATAATTGAAAATGGGAGATACTCGTTTTTCATATAGTAAGAACTTATAATTTATTTTTGTAAATACGAATTTGAAAATAATTCTGCAATTTATCTGGGATTGAAATTTTTAATAAAAAAGAGAAAAGCCATTTCATCATACTTGTTTTTTCGAATACTGAAAAGTAAATTTTCATTTTTTCAAGTAAGTATTAAATGCAGAGTGATGGAGAAGGGAAGTGGTATTTTTCTGCGGTTGAGTTGTTCATTCAAAATTAATCTTAAACGACATGGAACAAAATGAAAATAAAACAAGGAAGATTTTATCGTCTTAGATTAAAATTGCTTTTCAATGTTGAGTGGTTTTATATTAGAAAAATAAATTCAAAAAATAAATTTAAACTTACTGAATACGATTGTTTATTATCCATAAGAACAAAAAGTCCGACTCCAAAACATTCGCATACTACCTTATTTAGGCTTCTACTGACTACATAGCAGTATTTCAGTTCCATGTTTCTAAAAAAAAACACACAGATAAATATTTTAAAGCTACACAAATATCGGTTCAGATTTTAATTTAATTTTTAATCATAAAACATATTATAATAATTTCAGCTTGGAAAAAAAGGGAAAAATAGAAATGATACTCAATGCAAAAATATTCTCTTTAATGTTTATAACAAAACATTTATTATTTGGAGCACGATGAATAAGGGATCAAAGAGTTTGAGATCTAATATAAATACACTTTCGCTTTAAATACGTTACCTAAATGGAATTCGGATTTTCCAAAATCCGGCTTAGTTAAAATTTTCTTTTCTGAAAGCCATAATATACAGCGTTCCAAACAGAGTATTTCTAATCTGAATAGAAAAGCACGCCACGTTTTTTGATTTCATATAGTTAAGGGCAGTCATTTCCTTTTTAAGTAGTGATATATTATATGACATAATACATTAGATTAGTGTGCGTCTGTGTTACGTGTGTTCGTATATAGAAGCTAATAAAAGAAATGTATTACTGAAATTCAATCCGTGTACGCTTTTATTTGAGATTTTGTGCAATAGAAGGAATTTTTTCTGATCATATTTTCTATTTCAACACACATATTTAAAATTATCTTTCGTAACTCAAAATGTTATATATCTTTTGAAAAAATTAAATAAAGAAATAATCTTTTGCTTACTTGAACACTCAATTCATGTCTCTTTCAATTAAAAAGAAGCAAGATGGACAAAATATCTTTGCATAAGCTGAAGTTTCCTTAAGGATACGACTTGTGATGTATTATCTTTTCGTGTTATTTAAATCATCAGAAAAAAATTAATTATACGTAAAACATTAATAATAGGCTTAACAAAGTCAGTCTAGAATGAAGAGCAAGTGATTAAAATAATTGGGCTCCACTGTATTCCTTATCATAATCAGGAAATTACATTCAAGACAAAACACAATTTATTATGCTTGGAATCGACTACGTGTTTAGCCATCGGAAGTTGAATTCATGTGGTAAAATTATATTTTTGTATACAGCACTGCAATATATTACAACCATGATCTGATTTACTTCTTTCAAAAGACGTTTCTTATGCATCTCTGATTTGCATTGAAATCTATGAAATATCCGAATACTTTTGGTAATATAACATACTTTTGCAGTGTATAAATGTTTTAAATCCAAATCACTGCTACCAAATAAATAAAATCAGATAATGTAATTATGAAGTTTTGAGTATAATTTATAAATTCTAAAAGTATGAATTCGAAAAAATGTGTGCATGACTTTTACACATAAATGAACCAACAACAGTTTATTAAAAACTAGAAAAATTGTATAGAATAAAATGATTTATGGTTATCTTAATTTTATTTAAAATATGTTTAACTTGTCTCACCTTGTCGCATGTCTCAAAAACTTTTTCCAAGAAAATATAACTAACCTTTTCACGAATAAAATCTTGACGCATGTGAAATCATTTTCAGCATTTTCCTGAAAAAGACAAGTTATCTAAGTAAATTATAAATTCATTTTACTGACATATGAATTATATGTATTAGAGTAGAAACTGCTACAAATAAGAATTACAAATTTGCCTGTTTTTCAACAGAAGCTGAAAATATTCTTGAATGCGATTCGTAATTCAAATTTGCTAGCTTCCATTCTGAAGATTATCTTTTGAAATTTGTTTTTTCTCAATCAGATTACCAATGTGTGACCGTTTGGAAATTCTGAATCCGAAATTTTTGCTCTCGAGGCAGGCCCTACATAGCGCATGTCATTATCATGCTGTTTGCGGATCTTAAGTTAAACGTTACGCCACAGTACCCGATCAGTGGTAGAGTGGTTAAGAGCTAACAGCTTAAACACATGTTTGAATTCTTGTTCTATGTCTGTGTAATCAATTTCTAAGTCATCAGGTTTGATGATTTAGAAACTGATGAAACAGCCCAGAACATTATTTGCGGAGTGACATAAGTTGACACATAAAAGGTAACAGTCGTAGTAGCCAGCATAATTTAATATTCCTTTTTATTTTCGTTTTTAGCCAGAGCAGATAATGTGACTCAATAAGTCCCTGTTCTATAACTTTTACCCTTTTTTGAAGAAAAGAGTAGCAAAAGTATACTAGGAAGACGAGAAGAGACTCCCAGACACAGGCTTAGAGAAGCTCATGCACAATTATGTTCTCCTAACCCCTAGAGGCGAACCTAGGAGGATTAGCTTACCCGGTCAACCCAGAACGACGAAGAGCAGTAACAGCAAGATAGCAGCAAAGAACATCTAAGGACGGAAGCAGAAAAGTGAATGTGACATAAAAGATAGTTTCAAAATAATTTGAGTTTCATTTGGCCAAGTTCCCAATGGCTGTCTAATTTTCACTTTGCCAACATTTCCGCAGCATTAGCTTTATGTAAGAATAAAATAATATGGATCAAATTTTATGAAAATACAGAACAGCTGAAGCTTTTCTACGAACGGGTAGAAGTATCGTTAATAACAAAAGCTTTAGAGCCAACTCCTGAATTGAGGTCATCTGGGATCTTTTCTGAAAGTTTATTTTCATTTCAAAATTCGAAATTGTTTCAGGGATTTAACTAATACTTGAGAAATGAGACTAAAATGTCTGACAGACAATAAGGTGACCTTCCGGCTGCATGTAGTAAAAGGCTTATGCAATTCCACATTAAAATTAAAATATTTTATCGATGCTGCATAATTCTTATTTTGTTTATGAAATTTTAAACATCTTTTTTGCGTTTATTATTCACATAAAAGATAAAATCCAATAAAAATGATGAAATTAATTATTTATTAATATGAATGGAAATTCTTATTATATATATTTTTTATTTCAATCAAATTGTAATATATGTTTTAACAGTATTTTGTTACATTTCATAAACCTCCACCTCAAAAAATGCATTTCAGAAGCAAATGACGGATCTTTGTTGCTTAAAATATTTTCTGAATTCCTTGAGTGAGCTTTAATTTATTAGTAAACATTTTTATCATTTTATAGAGCACCAGTAACTTCATTTCATAGGAGGATCAAAACATTTACTACATTTCTCTTATTTTAACAAGATTCAATTCACAGAATTTGAAATCTTCATAATTGTTTATTTCGTATACATTTGCATGAACGAATAAATATTTCTCTTTCTAAGGACAATTTGAATGCATATTATTCCCTTGTACTCGTACGTGCAGATAGTTCTGCTTAGAACAAATTCTTTAATCATCTTGCTAGACCTTCAAGGAGAGAAATTAATGAGAGATTTGAGATCTTAAACTGAAATATTATACGGATTCTTTCTTTTCTTTTTCATGAAGCATACTTACTTATAGTACTTTAGAAGATACCTAATGCTAACAAAAGTGGAAAAATTTAATAACACAAGAATAAATTTGCAACGTTTTTCCTGAGAACATTGCAGGAAAAGGAATTTTAAAAATTTTCCTTCACGTTTTAAATTAACTTTGGTACTACCGCATTATAATTAAGTGTAGTAATAAATGTCTTCCTGAAACTAAAGTTTTATCTGGTTTAATGATTATTTCAAATAAATTTTAAGAATATTTCTCAGCATCTTAGTTAAAATAAATTGAGAAACGTTCTCAAAAACTTATAATTGTTTTGCAATTAGGAATTTTATTTATTAATTTAACATAATTTATAATGATACCCCAACTCCAAACTAAGAGCATTAGAACGTAAAATAAATACCAATAAAGTTGAAAAAATATTATTTAATGTTTGTTTCAAAACGGTTGCGGCTATTCCATTTAATATTACTTTCCACTAATGCGCTTTCCCTTTAATCATGGTTCTTATCAATCGTACTTATGAGTTGTGAAGTACTTATCATAATTTGTCTAAATAGAGAAGGGATGTTTTAAAGTTTCATCGTAATCAAAATTTAATCAAAACTCCGCGTTAATATACAACGGTTTAATCGGAAAGCATTGAAGATATATTGATAATCACCTGAAACTTAAATTACTTGTTCGATTGTTTTGATTGCACTTCTATCAGATAATATGCTTCATGTCAAAACTATTGATGTGTAGCAATATGGCTTTAAGGAAGTTGGATTTAAGGAGTACATTAAAACAAAATTAATAGTAAAATTAAATGCAGTTCTGGAAATAAAGAACGAGAGCGTAAATATTTACAGAATTTTATTTGAAACATATTTCCTATTAATGTAAAAATCTGCGCCTTGAACAAGACTTGTAATTTCTTGAGAAAACGAGAAACTGTACCCTTTAATAGATTCCAGATTCTCAGTAGTAACGAATTCTTTTCCTGCAATTACCGTATGCTCAAAGGAATAAGTCGAATTCGTAGTATTCCTTTTGAGGATGCAATCTCAAATGTAGTCTATTTTCACTAATAGAATAATCCGTATTGAACTCTGTTTTGGAAGTCCTGTGCTAAATGTAACAGTATACTGCTTCAATTCAGAGAAACTTTCAAAAAAACTTATTTTTTCATACTCATCTTGCGTTTTACAGAGAATTCTCTAATCACAACTCAAAAACCAAACACTCCATCGTGTAGTCAGTTAAAGCAGAGTTTCTCGTATATAGAGAGGTATATTGCTATGAAATAGATCGAGAACTAATTCCGAAAATAATTTAGAGCTAGCGAAACAAAGATTTGTGGCCCATGATTGACATAATAATAAAATCTTCAAAATAATTGGTAGATAATGTTTTGTATTCTTAATAATCATGCAATCAAAATGTCTTTCTATTATCATTTGTTAAACTTTCTTATATTTAGAAGCAACGTATTTTTAACTTAATTAAGTATTTGTACAAATTTGCATATATATTTAGCAATTGCTTTCTGAAGTAGACGGAATTTCAATTTCGAATACTTATCTTTTAAACTGTCAATGTAGCTCCTCAATAATATGACACTGTACTTTTTTTCCATTTACAGATCTAATGAGTGTACTAGGCTTATTTTACACCAGTATTTAGTCTTATGAAACTACCATATATTCAGAGAATCAAAAACATCATTGCAATATCTGAGATTTCAGTTCGTCTAATTTTCTGTAATTTTAAATTTAACAAATAAGCTGTGGTTGCTGCTCTCTAATGATGTCCTATTCCCTCCAATAATCCTTTATAGTATCCTAATAATACGACTATGAGGGCATTCGGTCATCTACCATTTATCAGTCTCAGCGTCCGGGAATCTTTTCACAACATAATAATAGTACTAGAAAGGGATACCGCGAAACAAGTGAATGATTAAGAATTAAAATTGGACACAAAAGTGTCGAAATTAAGAATATATTATGGAGAAATGCAAGTCATATCTTGCATTTCTTGAGAATACCTTCTTAATTTTGACATTTTTGCGTCCAATTTGAATTTTTCATCAATCACTTTAGGGTTCCCCTTAATCGGAATAACCAATTATTTTAGTTTTGATATCTTTTCTGAACTTCTTAGTTTCAATTGCATTTTTTCTCCAGGATGCAAATTAAGCTAAGTGATAAGAATATTTAAACAGGCGAAACGAAAAAGTTAGACAGGGCTTGATTTCTTTAGTTAGCGTACATTGCTATTCTGTCCTCCATCTGTTAATCTTAATTGCGGCTACGCATTCTGGCCATTTATTAAATCTATCGCGGATGTAGGTTGTTGAGTCAGCCTGTTAGCTTTAAGTAAATCGTGTAATGTAGCATTACTCTTTTTTAGATTTACCTTACGTTCTCACTGCAAGTATGAAGAGTTTTGCGAGCACGATATACGTGCTTTTGGTTAAAAACTTTGAGAATAAAAAGGGATACTTGCACTCTTTCCCTGTGTTGTCAATCTTCACTCCTGTGCGAGAAGTCGCCAGGCTTACTACTAATATCAGACAACTTGTATGATAGCAAAAAAGACACGATCTTACAACTTGCCTCGCGATGTGACTGTATGTTCTAGATATGATCTCTGATTTTAACTGAACCTTTTGTTTAGGCACTAAACCGTAGTCAATTTCGGAACCTGCCTCTATGAATCAGCATTCTTTAGTATGACCACAGACAGTGGAACGTGGCACTTTCAACAGCTAATATCACAGAGCTCCATGCCACCAATTATGACCATACCAAAATATGTTTAAAGTGATCTAACAATTAGTGATATTTCACAAAATTTTCTCTTCGGTATCATTAGGCAACCCTGTGATAATATATCACATTACCAATTTGCCGATCAGGGGCAAGTGGAGCCTCGACACTGGCTTTCTAAAGTTCTGTAGAACAGTGGCCAGTATAAAATGATTCATTAATGCCATTCCTTTGCATGGGAATATATCTATTCATATGTTTTATCAAATAGTTCAATTCGTTTTTACTTTAGTTGTGATCAGTGGACATCTTTGCAGTACTTTGAATTTTGCTTCAGATATTGTATGTACCTGGCAGAAAGACCATTCATGGCTATTATGCATGCAAGATTTATCATTACTACAGTAG